ATAAGTCAAACAATCGCTGAGGAGGGGAACAGTGGTCTGCGATTGTAAACACAGGAGGCGCGTGAAACGTCCCAATTCGCGGGTGGAGAGATATGCGCGTAACAGTAGATGAAACGCGTTGGTGATTTACGGAAGGGAACAGAACCGGTGTCAGTTGAACAAAATTAAATGAACAGTTGGAAAGAAATGAAAATTCAGAGAACCACATACCGACTATGGCAAGGAAATGATGATGGGGACAGAACAGGGCAGGGAAAGGATGGCCTAACGTAACGTGGTGAACACCACGACGAGAATCACAAGTGAGGCCAGGATCAAAAACGGGAGCCATGAGCTTAAACAATGACGTTTACTGAAAGAGAGAGAAGAAATGAAACATTACCCCCTTGAACTGCTACACAAATCAATATGAAGACTAATTAATGTGTAATAAAATTCGGTACAGTATTTGACCTCAAATTCAATATTTCTATTTTTAATTTACTACAGATAGGATAGGAGCAGGATGGATATTAAGCACGTGCTAAAAAAATAAATGCCACTCACCTCACATATTTGCCTCGTCTAAAAAACAACAAAAATGTGGAGACCATATTCCAGTCCGACTTTCCGTTGTACCGCATTCCATTTAATACCCGGGCCACGTGACTGTGGCAGTTATCACAGCAGAGATTATGCTAGAAAATGGTTTAAAAGAAGATAAGGTAACCGCTTAAGGGAAACTAAATAAATTGGCCGCACACACATTTTTGCGTTTCACCCGAACGAAGAAAACTCTGAAGTTTTGTGTACTATTTTACTTCTTGAACAAATAGTTATACAGTAAGGTTCCAGGAAAGGAGGAAGATCAATCAAGGGAACAGAATGAAAACGGACAGCACTGGTGGTAACAGCTGAATACACACACGCACGCACACAAACGACTTCCTCCGCAAGGCATTTGTGACGGGAAAAAGGATTAAAGATCATCATCATTATCATTGTACAGCGTAATGCAGTGAAACGAACTTCACTGATCACTGCCAACCTCGTGTTGCATACAAGATAAGTGAAAATTTGTAAGAAGAATAGGGACTGGACTTGCTTTTAGGGACGGGAAAAGAAAGCGAATCTCTATGGTCAACACACACAGTACACAGTTCAACTGTGCATACATACTATTTCAAGCATTCTGGTCTGATAAGAAGTGACAGAAAGATTGTCATAGCTGTCATTTAGCAGTCATAACCCGCAGTGTCTCCAAACATCCGGTTACGGAGTCTTTTGGACTCCAACCCGGAAGACGACAGACATCTACTCCAATTAATCGCCCTGTGCATTTCTTCATACCTCGTCTCCACGTCGTCTGCTGATCTCCACATGGCTTTATCCATCCTGCAACAGCCACTGCGAATAAGGCGCGCTGAGGTAGGCGACCGTCGGACATATGCAAGACGTGTCCTAACCAACGGAGCCTACTGAGCTGAATTCGATGCGACAGCGAGTTCTTGTTTGATGTATTCCTAAACACCCGACGACTTACTTCTAAGTTACTAACCCGCTCAGGCCATCCTACTTGGGCCAGACTACGTAAGCATCGATTGTAGAAAACCATTAGGCAACGGATGTCTTCTACCCGCAAATTCAGAGTCTCACCGTTGATCGTGCAGTAGTGCAGTATACGCGACTTTTCAACTTCAGTGGCACGTTACTTCGTCGCCACAGGTGTTTTAGTCCTGCGTATGCTACTCGGTCCTTGGAAATGCGAGCAGTTATCTCCTTTGATGGGCCACCGCCGTTGGTCACGTGGCTACCTAAGTACGAGAAGTAGTCAACTTCACCTTATTCCTGACCGTCAAGTTTCAGAACAGAACTCGGTGACACCCAGTCTTGTAGCATCACTTTGCACTTTGAAGGTGCAAAACACATGCTGAACGGAGCGACAGAACTTAATAATCTGTCAAGTGCTCTTTACGCATCCTCCATTGCTTGGAACAGGCAACCGATGTTGTCAGCGTACTGCAAATCACAGCTTTTCTCCAGCTGCCCATTCAATACCAACATTTTGGAGACCACTTAGTGTGTGCTCCAGTATTTCGTCTATTACGAACTTGAACAGAATCGCGAAAGACAGCACCCTAGACGAACACCGCTGCTAGTTACGAACGACCTACTCAGCTCTCCGTAGACCCTTACGCTACCAGAAGTGTGAGTAGAGTGAACTCAGTATGCTCATGTTCTTCTGATGTATTGCTTTACGAAGGAGCGAACCCATAAGGGATTCACCATTAACTGAGTCGAAGGCTCCTTTGAGGTTAAGGAACACGGCAACCGTTGGTCGACGGTGCGTGTGGCGTAGTTCGAGGACTTGACACAGAGTGAAGATTTGATCAATACAACGGCGGCCTGGTTGAAATCCTGTTTGTTGTTCGCGGATTTTTGTCTTCCTGAACGGTGTCAGACGTCGAAGTATGATGGAGGCTAATAACTTGGTGGCGATTGGGGTCAAGCTTATTACACGGTGGTTTGCGCAGTCGTTGCGAGATCCCTTCTCAAAAATTGGAACAATCAGTGATTCGCTTCATAATGATGGAATGCGCTCATGTGACCATATGTTACGCATTAAATCAGTAATGGAGTCTTCGAGGTCACCCCCTCCCAATCTTGAAAAGAGTGAGAGAAAGCCCGTCTGGCCCTGCTGCTTTTCCTTTCTTCAGGGCTTGGATGCAAGACCGAACTTCTGCTGTGGTAGGAGGTTCAAATGTCACTGTCCACGGAGCCTCAGCAACACCAGAGGAGATAGTCTGGTTAGAGCCTGGCTAGTGGAACTGTTCGTTGAAGTACTCCGCCCACCGGTCAAGCCGTTATTTCCTATTGTGAGTAGCTTGTCCACTTCTGTTGCAGATTGTTTCACTAACTGTGGTTCCCCGATCTCCCGCGTTGCGTATCAGTTGGAACAGTCGTTGATTGTTCCCTGATGCAGCTGCTACTTCCATTACACTAGCTATCGTTGCCCACCAGTTCTCACGGTCTTTTTGAGGCCCTTCTTGATTTGACGTTGCAGACGCCATCTACCCCTGCTTTGATCTCGGGCGGTCGGGATTTGCCGCGTTTTCTCCATCAGTGCTCATCAGATATCCAATACCTTGGACGGACTACCACTTCAGATCCACAAGCAATCCTCGCTACGGAGTACACTGCTCGTCTAATCTGATCCCATTGTTCATCTACACCATCAACTAGCGGTGCGTTTAGCTATTGCGCTAGTTCTGACCCCAAACGGGCACGAACGGCTGGGTCAGATAAACGATCTTCGTGCCTAGACCATGTGAATCGCACAGGAACAATGAATGTATCAGGTAATTTAGGCAAACTGTCTAATGTATCCCTGTGACAAGGCGGAAAAACAAAACGCTAATTTTAGTGAGTGACCAGTAACTTCACAGGACTTCAATGATCTGCCGAAGTGATGTACTTCAACTAGTGCGACACGATGTCCTACCGGGTTCTGTTTCATTTTCACACCGAAAGAGTGTGGGAAGACATGCGCTTAATCAGGGGGTGATAAAACGTGCGATTAATTGATCAATGAAATGCGCTACGCGAATCCGGAGCCAACCACGGCGTTTAACTACTCAAATTAAACAGATAATTTTCAAACTGTACTTTATAAGCGACTGAAAGAACGTATAACGCTGCCTCCCTTATAATACTGCATGACACGAAGCCAATGTTCACTGAAACCAAGCTAGACAAACCTGACTCTTCAGCTACCTCCTCTTGTATTGACCTATTTCAATATAATTGGGGTAGTAAGTACGTTGGAAGAACTGAGAGACGATGCACCGAAAAATGTGGCGTCTAAAGGGTTCAAGATTCTGTCCAGCTCAATCGCCCGACATATACTGGATTGCAAAGAAGCGACAAACCTAGGGACGTCTTTCGTGTCTTGATCCACCAGAAAGGTTGTCGTCTACTACGGTTCGCTGAAGCGGCTGTCATTCGACGTTACAAGCCCGATTAATGTAAACAGACCGAATTTCTGGCTAGCCTCCCGCTGCCCTGGTAGGTGTCACTGTCCTCCTCCCTTCCCCCCCCCCACACCCCCGCAGTGATTCCGCTCCCTGCCCCTATGCCCAATCCGGTTCATATTAGTGACCTTCAGCCTTCGTATTGACTGATTTCTCTTCCCCGTGTGTGTTCGACTGTTCCCGAATCTGTCACTCTTTT